GGTTTAATGTTTATAAATATTTATATCATATCAATGCAGATCATTGGCGCCATCCACATCTAGTGAAAACTAGTGTAACTGGATGAGTCATATAATGCAAACACTCATTGGTTAGCTAAAGGAAATCATCAGAAGCAAGCAGGTGTTCTTCAAACTGTAAACACGAATTGTCTATGCCATGCTACAATGTAGGATTCAGAAAAAGTTGTCGAAATGTCTGAAAGGTCGGACACAGGCGAGAGCGTATTAGGAGATGGAGACGGAGATCAACCAGACCTCCCTCATCCTTGGCTCTAGCTCAAAGAATTTTTCGAAATAGTCGTAAAATTGAGCTTTCAATTCATATAGTAGAATCTGTCTGTTTTTTAAAAGGTTACTTTATACTTTTATACTTTAAGTAGTTTTTGGAGCAGTTACTTTTTCACTTTTACTTGAGTAAAGAGGTCAATTTGATACTTCAGCTTTTACCAGAGTGTATTTAAACTGCAGTATCTATACTTCTACTTGAGTAACAAATGTGTGTACTGACACCACTGAGTAAAGGCCACATAAAATGGTTATGTATAATTTCTTAGACCTAGACTTAGACAGACTTTATTGTCATTGTTTACACACAGAGTGTATACAAAAAGAAAGTTCATTTAGTACAGCTCTCAAGACACTTCCATTTCAAAAATGCAGCAGTGATCAAATGTAAACAAGGTAATCAAAGGTGAACATAAGACAGATATGATTTATAGTTTCCAACATTCAGTGGATTTTTTTAAAAACCCCATTTTATATAACATTCAGCAGTCTATGGCAGTGGGGAAGAAGCTGTTGTGGAATCTGATGGACCATGCTTCGTAGCCTCTTCCCAGAGGGCCGCAGGGAGAACAGTCCATAATGGGGGTGTGAGGGCTCATTGATAATGTTACAGGCTTGGAACACGCAGCACTAGGATGAAATGTCTATTATAAAGGGAAGAGCAGCCCTGATGATCTCCTCTGCAGTTCTCACTACTCTGCATTTCATTCGAGTTTCATTTTTTAAAATGGAAGTTGACCCCCTGAAATAGATTCTGTTTCTGCCATTCAGCTATCTGGGAATGGCTTAGTCATCACTGGACATCAGCAACTCTAGAGAGTATGTCACTTCTACATTCAATACATTTAAAAGTCTGACATGTTTATTTAAAACCCCAGATTACAATCAGTTTTTCATTAGATTCCAATGAAATATAAAATGTTTGACCTTTCTTGAACCTCTATGCTTGACAAAGACAAAGTAATTCATGTTTAAAATGAAAGTCAAAAATATGTCACTTTCCAAATTTTCTACAAATGAAGATCAAAAAAGAAAATTTTTATGATATGAGTAAATACTTTGTAAAACAATTATTCTCTATAAGAGCTGTAGATATTTTGGGGAAGGTCACCACCAACTTTGCATATCTACAAGAACAAAATTTTCCCTGTGATTCTTTGCAGAATAAGTTAAGCTCTTTTAGAAATAATGGAGAATCTCTGCAAACATTAGGTTATACATCTTAATGCGGATTCTTAATATGTTTGTGATGCATGAATTTGATTTGATCTGAACAGAAAGATAAAATATATCTTTAGAGCATCATGCAACTTCTACTTCTATGCTTAATTTGGGGTATGTCTATTTCAGGATGATGTGCAATTTTCTGACCAACATGGCCTTTTACATGTCAGTAAAAAAAAAAACAACAAAAAAAACATCAGATTCAAACAAAAATAAAACTGTTTACTCTTTACGTTTTCTCGTTATGTTCAGATTATCTAGTTTTTCTTTGTAGAGTTTTTCCATGCAAGGTTTTCTTTTCTCCTAACATTCGTTTTGATCCATCTCTTTCATTTGTGATCAAATACTTTAAATTCTGTGGTTACAACGTGACATTTAATGAAAAGAATAAAGGGATATTAAAACATTCATAGGGCACTTTACTCTTTATTAATTCTATAGATTCAAACATTGCTGTGAGATCAAATTATTTCCTAAAATAGCTCAAATAAAGCACCTCATCTCCAAAAAATCATTAGTTTAAATGCATCTGTCTGGATCCCTTTAAAAAGCTTACATATTGTTTTTTCGGCGTCTAACTAGTTCATCTTGAATTGCATATTCAAGTTTGAGTAATTGTCATAAATTGTTGTTCTTTTGAGGAACCATGCAAGTGTTTGTCATGAAAGGCTGAGCAAACATGCTTTAGTCCCCCTCCTTGAGGCATCAAATAATGTGCCTTGCGTGGGTGTGAATTAGATTTATGCTCCATCCTTCATATGTCTATTTTAGCCCTGCCTGTATTTACCCTCATGGTCTCCTTTTGACATGAACGGCCTGGGAACAAACATTGCTGCATGAACTGCCAAGGAGGCAGCAGAACCAAGCGTTGCTTCTTCTTTAGCTCAAATTCAAACATGGTGTTCGCACAAAGAAGAAAATCTTTCTCAAATCAGTTTCATGTGTTGATTGAGCCCCCTCTCTCTGATTTGCCCGTTGCACCGGAAAAGCTGGAAGCACGGAATTTTATTAGACACAGAAGTGTGGGACTTTCTGTTTGCCTTAGCTGCATTCCTTACATACCTCTGCCCCCCTGCTTTCTCTCCCTCTTCTTTTCCCAATCTGGCCGAACACTGCAGACTTTTCCCCTTAAAAAGTAACTGTTACGGCCTCGGGTTATAAATCCACACACAATGATTAAACGGTGCCATCGTTATCTCTGCAGCCCGCGCAAAGGTTGGGATCTTGCGCTCATGAGTACGGACTCTGTCTGGTAGCCTGTGCTAACAATAAACATCGATGGCCTAGATATTGGCACCACTGGACTAGTTTCTTTTTTAGAAAACACAACTTATTGCTTCCAGGGTTCCTGGTTATTTCTCTGTGAATTCAGATGTGTAATGACTTGACTGCTGCCTCTAATGAGTGACATGCTGAGGAGAATTTGTGCAAGTGGAGCAGGACATCTTTACTTCTTGTTATTTTCCTGTCACTGGCTTTCCCAAAAATGTCATGCATTTAAATAAAACGTCTGTGCCTCCACTTTGTGGCTTAACCCACTGAAAGTTCAATACAGAGGTTTACATCCACTGATGTCCTTCTGTTACTGTATTTTAGTTCATCTATTCATTTATGAAGCCGGAATGATCGGGTGGCATGAAAAAGTAATGGTATTTAAAAACAATACTTGGAATTACGACTTTGAATTTATGATAACATTTCTCTAACCAAAGCTAAATAATAATATATATCAAACATGTTCATATGCAAAGTCACATATGCATGTTGTTTTTAGCCATCAACAAGCTTCTGGCACAATTCCGCTAAAATATTTGTTCACTCTTCAAGGCAGAATTGGAAAAGTTGATTTAGTTTAACTTAATTAGTTTCCTGGCACAGATTAGGTTTTTATGGATAGATGAGGTCAATGCTTTGGGAACGATAGGACAGAACCAGAATATATCCATCTCAAAACATGTTCTAACTAGAGGTGCACCGATCCAGTTGTTTCTGATCCAAAACCTGGTCTTAGCATATTGGCCAATATCCGATACCAATACGATTCAAATGTTTTACTTTACATTATGAATGAAAAAATAAGCAGCAGAAGATATAACAGTGTAAAGTGTACAGGATTGGATCTCCGATATCAAATCATGATATTCGATCCAGCTAATTAGTCAATATCAGAGCCAATGTCCGAGTGGTGGCCTACTGTAGTGTTTTGGGTATTGAATTTGGAATCCAGAGGTTCTGAGTTCAAACTCCACTCACACAGACTGCCATATTGGTTTAGGGGTTTATGTCAATACAGGCATTTCTATGGAGTTAAATAAGGTCTATATAATGGCTCAATAGAAGATAGGTTGAATTTAGACATATGGAAATCCTTCACATCAGCTAAACATCACCTAAAGGTATATGACAAAATAATAACCAATTCAAATTAGCTTTACAAATTCTGCCACATTATTAAACCAAATGTCCCAGAGGTTCCGATGATGGTTACATAGTTTCAGTGGGGATGCCAAATCCTTTTAATCTAATCCAGTGAGGGATCTGTCTAGATATTTAGTCCATATTCTAATTTTGATTTGGTGTGGATTAAACAAAATGCACTAGAAATGAAAACTATTTGGAAATATTTTTATTCTCATTATTTGACATGCTTGTATGATTTTGTTTTATAGA